GCTACGCTACACAACACTCTACATGCATTTGGACGCATTATGGACCAGGTGCGTTGGGACGAGTCCATTTGAATTCTCCACTCTGTGCAGTTGTCGAAATGCATATAGTGTTGAGTGGAGCGAGGCCCCAAGTCTAGAGGTGATCGGTATTTGCCCGCAAAAGCTACGAGAAACGAACGGGGGGGAGAGGGAGGGAGGGAGGGAGAGGGAGGGGTGGGGGGAGAGGGGAGAGAGAGAGAGAGAGAGAGAGAGAGAGAGAGAGAGAGAGAGAGAGAGAGAGAGAGAGAGAGAGAGAGAGAGAGAGAGATGGGGAGAGAGAGAAAGAGGGAGAGAGGGAGAGAGAGGGAGAGAGAGAGAGAAGGAGAGGAGAGAGGCATTTGTAGTAGAGTTGTTAGTAAGAGCATGGGAGCACAGTTACACTAAGGGCATACTCGCATGAATTAGGCATTTTTTCCAGTGGATATTTCATGGATCTATCTGACTTTCCTGGATGCATCTCTCCATAACTACGACCAGATTCGGTTGTAACTTGTAACTTCTAAGTTGAAGTGCGAGAATACAATAAATTCTTTCTGCATTCATTGTCAAATTTTCACCCACCCACTTATCGTACATTTCGCGGATGATTTTGGATAATTTGGCATTGAATTAAAATTCAATTTTCAGCAAATTTAAATTATCCCTTTCTTGGTATATTGACTCTATTTGAAATTTGAATTTATTCTTAGGGAATTTTAGCCAATTGAGTTGAATTAACCCTTTTCAATATTGAAATTCATGTTCCACCACGTATCCATTCTTTTTTCTTTTTTGGGAAAAAGAAAAGAAGGGCAACAGTCTTGAGATGTCATCACTGAGCTGACAGGCCTCAGGTAATGACCGTAATTCAGAATTACTTTTACTTTATTTTGTCCATCTGTTCGTCTGTTCATCTGACTGCATCTCCAGATTCGAACTTGCGTCTGTATTTGACCAGTTCATGTGTACATACGAGTCACGATACGACTTATGCATTTTACTTTATTAAATTATTACCCTTCAGAAAGTTTTATCCAGTTCATTTTTATTTTTATTTTTTAATCCCCCGCATGGTTTTCTTTTTTTTTTTACCTTCTTTTTTAACCTTTTTTGAAAAATAAAAAAAGTTGGTTGATGGCCTTGAGATATCATCAGCGATCTGAGCAGCCCCAAGTAATTCATAATTTTTGAATTTTTTCATTCATCTAGTAGTTCCATTTGGATTCGAACTCGGGTCTGTATTTCAATTTCAACAGTTGATGGTTGGTTTAGCAACTGAGCTAGACAAGTTCGTTTTCAGCCAATTATTCCAGTTTGGAGAATGCACCTGGATTCGCACAGCGGACAAATACAGGGGCCGTTTTCAGGCCAGTTTGGCTAATCCAAGTGTGAGTCCGCTGTATGCGCACGGCACAGCTCAACAAAAGGCAATCCCCCGACTGGCCTAGCTCAGTTACTACCTTCTTTCCCCGAATATAACGTACGATCGATTATAGCTGTATTTAGACTGAAACATACCGCAAATACAGATATAATGACTGTACGTTCTATTCGGGGGGAAGAAGGTAGTACTTACTACACGCATGAACTCTTTGAAATACAGACCTGAGTTCGAATCCAGCTGCGATCAGACGAGTCTAAATAACTCCTGTCTCTTATACACATCTAGATGTGTATAAGAGA